GGTAGATATCCAGCTCAACTCTGGGGTCTGGTTGGAATAGGGTCCCCTATTCCTCCGCCATCTTTTCCCCCCAAAAAACTGAAATTTTTGTGGATATCATTTGTAGGCAAGGCAACCTGAGCCTGGCCGAGACAATGGCATGAGAGAATTTAGTCATGCTATTATAGAGAGGGATGTCGGGGGAGGTATGTTAGTGCTGAAATGAGCTGTTCGGTTCAGTTGAACAGTCATTTATTGAGGTGAATTATGTGGGTGGAACTCTGCAAGCTACTGTTCTGCTCTGTAGAAGTTGTTCCTGTAACAGGAGAGACAGGCAAATCAATTACATAAGTGCTAACATTCAGGTGTGTATCTTGAGAACACAGTGGAAGCACTGTCTTTTCATTCCTACTCATTTATCAGCTCATCACTCATCTAATTCTGATGCTTAAGCATATTCTCTGCTTTTTTCTTCATAGGCTATGCCTCACCTTATCTTCATAACTTTCTTACTTGATGCCTTTTCTCTAGCTTGCCTTCCCATTTTTCTCCTTTACTAAATCCTTCCTTTTTTTTCCTTTTCTTTTTAATTGAAATATAGTTGACACACAGCGTTACATTACATTACTTTCAGGTATACAACATAGCAATTTGACAAGTCTGTAGGTTATGCTCTGCCCACAAGGGTGGCTACCATCTTTGACCATACAGCGCTACTACTGTAGTTCCACTGGCTATATTTCCTATGCTGTAAAAATCCTTCCATTTTTAAAGGCTTTTGCTGCCATCCCCTCTAGTGCTTGTTCTCGTTCTCGAACTCTTTTAAAACACATAGTTGTCACTAATAAGTGTTTGTTAAATATTGTTGAATTAATTTGTCATTTATTATTTACTTGTTTTTACTTATCCCATTGTCACTTACTTGTATGTGTTCCTTTTTAGGTTATAATTGGAGGTTATAGGTTGGGACATATCCTAGTTTAGTGGAAAAAGCGTGTCACCTATTATATATAAAATCTTAACTCCTCTTTAAAATAGAAAATGTTCATATCATACCTACCTAATCACTAAATGTGATACTGTGAGTGAATGTACATTGCAAATTCAGTTAAAAGTAAGTTTAGTTCTTGTAACTATTTATTAACAATTGACCATTAATAATACTGGATCTTGTAACTTTGAATTCATTCTTTGGACAAATTAAAATTTCTCCTGCTCTATGGTCTGCCACAATTGGCATAAAACTAATTCATGATTAGGAATCCCGTTTCACATGTCTGATTCAAATTTTTTTTTGATGAAAAAGAGAAGATCACCTCTAGGGGGGAAAAAAATAAATGTTTACTTGCAAAATGACTTGATTATCATTAGGGCTTTTTTTTTTTTTTTTTTTAAAAAACACAGATTGAATCCTTTTTCTATAATGAAGTAATTTAGAGAAATTGGGGTGGTTCTGGAAGCTTATTATAAGATACATTTTGCCCCAATTAACATTTTTTAAATCTTGTAGGAAAGACTGATGTAGCAGTCTTTGTCTGGAAGTAATTTAAAAATTTTCTAACTAGAGCATTTTAAAATTCACTTTTCATGTCAGTTAGTATGTGATTACTCACTTCTGGATAGAGTTTTTAGATCAGGAAGTGAAGGGTTTTTTTCTGAAAGGCCTTGAGGAAAAGAATTATAGTTTAGCCTTTATGAAAGGAGAATAATTGTGGGACAATTGTAGGTCTTCAAAGAGCCTACTTTCTTACTACTTCTTACTTTAAAATACATATGTATGTTTTTCAGACATAAGAACTGAATTCTTGATGTTGTATTAATGAAAGTGATTTTCTTCTATTAATGAACATATTTTTAAAATGTCAGTATTTGATACATCCCCATCTTTCCATTTGAGTTATTAATATTGCTATACTACTAAGGTAAAGTTGCTACACATGGGATGGATGGATGGAAGGAAGGAAGGAAGGAAGGAAGGAAGGAAGGAAAGAAGGACTAAATTCTATGGTTATAACACTTTGTACTCATTTTTCCCACCTACTCCTGTTTTCTACCCACTCAAGGAATAATTCAGCACAGGGCATCACAATGTGGTATTTAGCAGTGGGGATGAATCAAGTACTTATCTACCTTCTGACATCTATCCTGTATCACCTGGGATTTATTTAAATTTATGAACTATTTTCCTATTTTATATTTTATATTTATATTTTATATTTAAATTTTTAGACCTATTAAATGTTATCTTTATTATGCTAGAGATGGCATATGGTACATTGGTGTGTGTGCATGTATATATGTACATGTATACATGCAGTGTACACATATGGGAAAGTGTGTATGCATGAGAAGATAGGTAATTAAAAAATCAGTGTGGGTTTATGAGAGTTCAACAGTTAGTGTGTAATGTGAAAATACTTAACAAAATTTCAACTACAGTCATTTATTCAACAAATGTTTGATGAGTACCAGACAATGTTCTCTGTACTGAGCCAGGAGGGGTGGGGTAGGGGAGAGTCAGACAAAGGTGATCAAAAGTTGGTCCCTTTCTAAGAAGAAAGACAAGCATACAAACACCTAATTATAATGTAGTGGATGTGCAATGAAAAGGCTGTGAACACATTATGAAAGCACAGAAATGTCAATGTCTGTGACAATGTCAAGGAAGGCTTCACAGAAATGATACTGGAGATGTCTATGAGGATAAGTGTGAGTCCACAGGGAATATCTGTATACAGTTGTCTTCTTAGAGGAGAGGTAGGAACAAAGACCATGGCTGTCTCAAGAGATAATATCAGGTTTTTTGTTTTGAAGTGAGGGGATAGGGCCTGACCTCACACCTTGGGAGCCTGGCCTGACTTAGCTGTCCTTTTGAAATTGTGTCTAAGGCTAAGCCTAATGCAGCAGTGAAAGGGAACATGGGCTAACCTCCTTGGCTACAGAAAAACCTTGGTTGAATAAGAGGTAGTGCCCAGACTACTTGCATTAACAGGGAAAGGGGAGGAGAGTAGCCAACTGGAAAGCATTTTTGCTGTGACACAATTGGTCCTAATTTTCTGGGTCACTCTGAGGATTTCCAACAGATCCTACTCTAGGTTTCAGAGAAATCCATGAAGCAGACAGAAACCAAAAATCCTTGAAACTTGAGTTTCATTTGAGTTTCTGAAAGGGAAAAGAAAAGCAATAGGGCATTATTCTGTTTGAAAGTAAAAACTGTTCATTTGAGATCTGGTCTCTTCCAGTTGTCTGGCTTTGTATAAGTGAATGAAATGATGTTAGTCAATTAGAGATTATGGGTTTAATAGAATCCATAAAAATCATATTCTTCTCTATTTAGTGCTTAGAATATTCTGTATTTTTTTTCTGGATAACCATCTTTATTCTGAATGTAGTAATTACATTAGTTAAATGAGCTATTTGCTCTCAACCTTCTGTTTCTAATGCAGATAACTGGCATGAAAAGGGAGGGCCTGAAACCCTTTCTACTGACATAGCATTGGTTCCATGTTAATAATAGTTTTGGTGCACTCCATTGTCAAGGATATCAAAACCAAGATGCCTAGATTAGGCATAATTAAGACTCAGGGTCAGTTTCTAAGGCTGAGATCAGGAGCAGGGAGATGGAAATTTAATGTAAGAGTTAGATTGTACATAGGAATTTGAATTTGAATCTGATTGATGAGCCAAGATACAACCAGAGCAAACAATTTTGGAGTAAGTAGAAAAAACAAGACTAGGGCTAACAAGCCAGAGGGGAAGATGGAAGAAAGCAAGCCGGCCTCTCTACTTTCTCTTTCTCTTCCTCCTCGTTATAGTGGAGACATCTTTTGGTTGATGTAGCCTGTGAAGGCAAGTTATATCTTTCTGTCAGGATCCTGACTCTTTAATAATTCTGTTTCTTTTATAACATAAGTTGCTTTCCTTGTAATGTCACAGGAGCCCTTTTTAATGTTATTTTTTCCTAAGCATTAACAAGAGGCATATTTGATATTAAAGGTTCATGAATGGTAGTTGACTTTTTTAATCATCAAACATTTTTTTCTCTATCTCTGATCTTTCAAAGGGAAAAGTAAACAGATTTTGCCCATGAAAATTTAATATTTTGGAGCCAAGTATTTTGAGGTTCCTTTTATTGCCACTAAATAACTTTACATTACAAAAGTTGACTCAAAAATATCTTACATTAGTGGCAAAGTCAAATAAAGTAACAATTTGCTATCCTACAAAGGTTGAAATGCTAGCAATGTATTAATATAAACAATGGAACTAGTTCCCAAGGCATTAAAGAGACATAGGGAAATTCTATTTTTAAAATTTCAGTTGAAATGCAAAACACTATTGCTTTCTTAATAAACAACAATAAAAAATAATTAGTTATTAGAACTTCACACATAATCTTAGTTATTCATATGTGCTTTACAGGGTATCTTTGATAAAAGTAGAGTTAATTTACATGTATCCATATGGTGCCGGCAAGCAGTTCAGACCATTTCACCTGAATGTGGTAATTACTATGTCAGACAATCAATTTTAATAGCAATGATATTGCAGTGTGAAGAGTTCACCTAGAGCTTAAAACCGTCACCAGTACTGCTTTTGTGAAGGATAATTGAGATTTTGTGTGAAACACTGAATGAATTACCTCTTGAAAATGGAAGGAATAATGAAGATAAAGCACTATTGTTTAATGGTTAGCCCCTACCAAGCAAATTTGTGAAAATGAAATTGAATAGGAATTTTAAGTCTCAAAACTGTTCAGAGAGCTTTGAGTGAACCTGAAAGTTGAACTGTATCATTACAAAGACAAAAGCTTCTTTACTTTTTCTTGTAAATTTAGCATCCTTGATCCTTTTCCCAATTAAATATTAGATTATTAAAAATAGGTTTTAATCACTACATACTGTTTACCAGTGGAAATAAATACAAAAGGAGGATTTTTGGTTTCTTCTAGTCATTAGCAGAGAACAATTTGCCACAACTTATGTAGTAAATAAATGCATTATAAAATTTTTGTGTTTTAGGGATTCATCAGAAGTGGTCACACATTCAGCTGATGCATTTGCACCTGTTGCTTATCTACGCTTTTTGGAATTGCACTTGGAGGACAAGGCAAGTAAACCTAAGATTCACTTTCACAGTGATTTCAAGAGAAAATTGGGATGTATGCATTGGCTCTGTTTCTTTAATTCTATAACAACAGATAAAAGGGTAAAAAAAAAAAAAAAAGGTCATTTTATCATTAGTGATTTTTTTCCCAGATCCTCAGTCAGTAACTAAGAATTTTGCAAATATTTATGGTTTTGAGAACTCTATATGATGCCTACGAAATTACGTTTCTGAAGAGTTTGCAATTCAGTTAAAAAGGGAATCATATATACATTAAGCAATGAGAAGACAGGACAGTATATAACCAAATATTAAATCACCTAGTAGAAAAAGAATTAGTTTAGGGGCGCCTGGGTGGCTCAGTCGTTAAGCGTCTGCCTTCGGCTCAGGTCATGATCCCGGAGTCCTGGGATCGAGTCCCACATCGGGCTCCCTGCT